AGTCATGCCCAAACATACTTACATACAGACAAATTGTTATAAGTAAGGGCTTCGCCCAATTATTAATCGGTTAACATGTTGTTTTTTGTTAGCCTATTGACCTCTTTACTTGAGAATAAATTATGTCACTGGAAAAATTATAACAATAGACGGCCCACTGAAAGGGGGGTTTTGGAATATGTTAAATGACATGTGAAATGAAGTCTAAAAATAGAGCCCCACCCATTTACATTTTACACAGCCTAACTTTAGCAAGATTTCCTGTGCCCATATTATAATACAGAGAATTTAATGCTGTGGGTGTGGGCACAATGTAATTGTGCATGTGACAGTGTGTGTAAATGTAATATTCTACCATATAATGAAAAATTTTCGTGGCCCAAAAATTTCGTGGATCCGTTCAAAAATCAATTTTGTGGCTCTAATTTACGTGGTTTTCTACTTTTTGGCCATCATGAACTGTATTAAATAAATTTTTGCAGAGTTTATTTGTGTGGATTTAAAAAAACACGAAATCGACAAAAATTTTGGGCCATGAAAATTTTTTGCTATACAGTATCTACTCCATCATTTTAAACTCAGTCAGTACTACTGAAACACAATTGAAGACCAATTACCAACCAACCTGCACTCGGTTAGAAGTCTCATGTCACCAGCCAGTTTTGGGGGTGAAGTCTGGTGTAGCCAAGTCTCAGTCATAGCTGCCATTTTGAAAAGGTTTGGGGGCGGTGCTGACTACTGGTAGCTAGCTATAGATACAAGTACACAGTAACAGATTATTATTATTATTATTATTATTATTATTATTATTATTATTATTATTATTGTTAGAAATTAAAAAAAAATTCTGAGAGTACGTCAATGTTTTATAAAAATTAGAAAGTTAAAATGTCGAATGTCAAATTTATTTTCAGAAAAAATAAATTTCAATAAATAGAAAATGCTGACAATGCAAAAATCATTTTCTAATGATATTGTAAGTTGTAAATTTCAAATGGTGGATTAGACTTTAAAGTTTTAAAAATACATTTATTCAAAAAATTAAAATGCTGACATTACAGAAAGCATTTTCTAATGATAGTAAAGCTATAAATTTGAAATGCTGAGCTAGGTTTTAATATTTAAAAAATTCAAATATTGAAAAAATGAAATTGCTGACATTGCAAAAAGCATTTTTCA